ACTTACAGTGGGATAAACTTCAAACCTCTAATATAAATTAGTTAAATTTAGTTATTATTTTTTTATCAATTTTAAGTTTTCGTTTGGAATAATTTTCATGAACTTATCTATTAGGAGATCTCTTTGGAAAATTACCGTACATCCGATATCTATTGAAATTTTGACATCCTCACTTTTTGGAAAAAGAAGTTCAAGATACAAGTTTATGTGCAAAAAATAAATTAAACAATAAAAGTCTCCTTATATTTATGGAACTTATAATAGAAAAATTTTTATTTCATTACCCAGACTTTATGAATAGCCTACTCTATAAGTAATAGTAGAAATTCCGAATTAGTAAGTTCAGTCAAGACGTCATTCAAAAGTTTTGAAGAAAATCACTTTTCTGTTTTGTGAAAATTTGGGACTATCTTATGCGAGTATTGTCGACAAAATGTTAGTCTATGAATGACTAAAAATTAACGAATAAATGGTTAATCGCGATTAATGATTAAAATTAATTAAGCGATCGCTGTGGTGTAGTGTTTAGAAGTGCGCACTACCATTCCGCAGGGTGAGCGTCCGAGCCCAGTTCCGGCCAACAAAAAAAAAAAAGAAAATGTTTTTTGTAATAGTGGTCGGCCCCCGGCAGGAGTCGGCGTAAAACTGTAGGTCCCTCCCCTTTGTGCGACAACATCAAGGCGCATGCCACAATCGGAGGAGTAGCTCGGCCAAACACTAACATATGTCGATGGTCCTCTGCAATAACGGCACAATTCAAAATTTCAGGTTTAGAAAAATACATAATTTGAAAGCTTACAGTATGACTGCATATAATCCGGAATAATTACGTTCCAAGACATATTGCTAAATTACGAAACAACAAATCTTTAATTGGCTCTACTGAAATATATGAAATTTTTAGTTGTGTCGATATGTAAGCGCTTTTCTATTATTATTAGTAATCATCAATACAATTTCAAATTACATAAACCCAGTCACAGCCCTTTTTTGTATTCGACGCTTCCAGAAATCACATAATACATAAAATAAATAAAAGCTGTTTTGATTAATATTACATAAACTGGAAACTGTTAAAAATAAGTGCGCTTGTGTACAGAGATTTTAGAACCTATTTAGTTCCTAAAATGTCTGTTTGCAACACATAACAATAAAAATGCACATCAAATTGCTAAGAATGATGAAGGAAATCGACTCAGACATGCCTGTTTAACTGGCCGTGCGTGCTCAAAACAAACACATGTTAATTAAGGAGCTATTCAAGTATTATGTAACCACCAGTGGAAAGCGGGGGTCTTGGTTTGCTTATTTTTAATAACAACGGGCAACATTTCTTCAAATAAGTAAAACATTAATTACACACGCACAAATTTTGCCTGCAATTTCGATCACAATTGAACACTGCACTTCACTCTCGTTTCGAATTTTTGAAAGCGTTTTTTAAGCTATTTAGTGGTTTAACACTTCTTATGGGCACTTGATATTGTAAAAAAAATATGCGCAATTCGATCCCTAACCATGATTCAATAATGAAAGGTTTTGTAAGAAAAACTTTCTCTCGCTCTAATTTTATCAATGACACTCCCACCCTACTCCTAAAAACAAAAACAGTGATATTTCTTTTCCGAATTTCTTTGCAAGTTTTAAGAACATTTTTAAAATGTTAGTAGTGAAATTTTTACTTTTTAAATTTGAAGAAATGTTTGTTCTTCATTCGCTGGCGCCAACAGGACAAAATGGGTGAGAATCGTTGGACTACAGAAATTCAATGTAGGCTAAAGAGACGAAATTCCCTTAAAGGCCGAAATGTATTTGTCGATATTCTTGGAGACCTCTTGATTCTGCCAAGTCGCTGTAAAGTAAAGCGTACAATAGTTTTGGTAAATAAGCCAACGAAGGTATTTAGGTATTGTCCTCCACAACACAATCCTAGTGTCTCCGAATGAGACTTTGACGCATAGGCCCAATCGTCACACGACAGCTCGGTTTAGTCAATGGCGCGAAGTAATTGCACACCTAAAAGGTGTACGCACGAGGCGAACGTTGGCTGGCGACCAACTTTGTTGAAAGCGATTTAGTTGAAAGGCCGTTCAACTAAAAGTAGAACGCAAAGTTGAACAATGCAAACGCCTTTTTATGGCGAATATTTTGATATTTTTTATATTTTGATATTTTTAGTCATTCAAATTTTTTTTCGTGCAACCCGGCGTGAGGTGAACGCAAAAGTTGCCTGAAAATCGCCTCGTGCGAAAGCCCCATTACGCCACTTCTCATTTGACGATGTAGATCACGTTCCCTATCTCAGTCGTTCAGTAGCTGCGTGTCATTTTTATTCTTCCTGAGTTCGTCCGGCACGAATCGCCAATTGCGGCTGTGTAAGCCAGTGTTGAATATTCTCCCCAGAACATTAAAAGTGCGACATCAAAGAATTCGAATTACCATATTCGAAACAATCGAGCCATAACCGCGAAAGAAACGTAAGCTCCAAATTTTTTTATTTGCCGTTTTTTTTTTAAATAAATATTGCATATTTTCCACAAACAAATAGCTTCTTCATATCCATCATCTGGCAAACAAATACAACAATAAAAGCTGAAAGTGGACCATCCCTCGAGTTATGCGCCATCTGACGTTCGCAAGTTTGGTATATATGTACATAGAAATATTTATTTTTAATAACAATTGGGGGTTATATTCGATGTAAATAAGCTTGTTTAAATTAAGCAATTAAATCAAATTCGTTTTTGTTTTAAAATACCACCATTCACTATTATCCACACCTTTTTATGGAATTTAGCTCCCATTTTAGGAAGTGTGATTGAATTCTTCCCCTTTTTCTCCTGCTTCCATTAATCATCCCTGTGGGTGGGAGTGCCAAATTTTAGAAAAAAGCTACTTACAAAACCTTTAATAATTGAATCATGATCCCTAACTACATTTTTTTGTAAAGAACGCCCGTTTGCTTTAAATTTGTAAAAATACAATTATTTTTTTATTTTGTTTACATCTGTCATTTGTTACAAATGAAGAAAAGTCCAAGAGTTGCCAAGTATAAATATCTTTATATCTATTTATTAAAATAATAATTTACAATAATAATTTATTTAATTAATACTTTATTAAAATACAAATTTGAAGTGCAAATACATTTGTAAAACTGTTTATCACAAAATGTTATTAATTGTTTGCAAGCATACTATAGTTTTCATGCATTTTAAGAATAAATAATCTAATCTCTTGGCTCAATTCTTATTCATTCGTCCTGAAATATACTAGCCAGAAATACGTTTGCTTTATAAAAAAGATAACCATTTTGAAATATGGGTGACTTTACTCTCTAGAAAATAATTTATGCAATTACGCGGTTTTGCATTTTCTTGATACGCGGTTTTATACTTTGAAACGACGATATGTATAGCATGTACTTACGGCGGCCGCCGTAGCAGAGTGATTACATGTGCGTACTTCCACTCCATAGGACCATGGTTAAATACCTGGTCAGATCATAACCCAAAATAGCAGTCGTCCTTCGGCAAGCAATGGCAAACCTTCGAGTATATTTCTGCCTTGAAAACTCTTCTTATAAAATCAAGTTTGAGCAGAAGTTCGGCCAACAAATATTTTAGCACCAAATATTTATTTGTTTACTTATTTTAAGGGAGATGGCAATCTTCTGGTTTCACATTTTGAGTACAAAAATTTCAACCCTGATACAACAAATAGTATTAGTACTGAATGATAATGACAGATTGCATTCCCATAAACGTCCAATCATACATGATTGAGTTCTCTTTTTGCATTCACATTCTCTATGTGAATGGGTGTCAACCATTCCATAACACACTACATATTTTGTGTTTACAATTTGTAACCAATCTCAAGAGTGGTTGTTAAATTTTTTAAATCAAACAATCACATTTTTGAAACGAAAAAAATGAGAATGCACACTCAATTGATTCAATCATTACACAGCTCTG